ACAAATCTCTCTTTGCTACTGCAAAATAAGAGGAGGGATAGGTTGTTGAATTATTTAATATACTATCTGTGTATATTTTTACTATCAATGTACACTGACGGGGAAAAAAACACATCTGAGAAGTGAAGTGGATTTCCACTTCAAAATACCAAGATTTTCAAAAGCTCTTTTAAAACTAAAAATCTGTTAATCCTCCTGTATGAGTATTTTGGTTGATGACATCACAAGAGGCAAAGGATTTTGAGCGGAGCAGCTGCCATTTGTCAACACCATGGCAAATTTTTCAAAGTCAAACCTCTCGGGTTCTAAGTAGAGTTTGTGTCCGGCGACACCGAGGCAACGATAAACGGAGCTGCGGACGACGAACTGGATGGAAACGGAGACGTGACGATGATCGTCCTTACTTTAACTGGTACATATCGCTTTAAAGTCATGTGTGGTGAAGATATGATGCATTAAACTGCATTTTGGATTGTAAACCAATCAGTCTTACAATGACAAATCAGTTCCATGACCTCTAAATCAGTATAAAAGATTATTTTTTGACATTAACAATGGCGTATTAACGTCACATGTTTAAAACAGAGTTTTTACAGTATTTATTTTGGAGGTAGTTTTGCTTCAGTTTGAAGGAAAATCAGCTTATCATTAATATTCTTAATGGAGGATCCTTTAAATCACTCATGGTAAGATGTGCTCCTGACTCACCCTGCGGTTGCAACAAGCGACAAAATGGAGCTAAAATATGTAACACAAAAAGCTAAATAGGGCAGAAGTTACTCTGCTTACTGAAATGATGGTCTTTAAAAACAATAGCAGTAAATTACACAATCCAGGTATTATTTTTTTAATGTCCGATCTAAACTAAGTGGAGCCGTTTAATTACATTCTTCATATGTGACTATGGGAGACACAGTCGGTGTTTTATTTTTTATTTACCGTATTTTCCGCACTATAAGGCGCACCTTCAATGAATGGCCTATTTTAAAACTTTTTTCATATATAAGGCGCACCGCATTATAAGGCGCATAGAATAGACGCTACAGTTAGGGTTGCCACCCGTCCCATATTGAACCGACACGGGACGCTATTTGTTCCGTACTCTACAAATGTGGATGTGTAATAATAAAGAATGGGTCCCCGAGTATTTTATAGAGTAGGCTGCCCAAGTTATTGTTTCACTCACGGTGTTGGTGTTGCGATATTGTGCCCAACTGCTTTCTGGGTAACACAGACCAATCGACAGGCTGCCGCCGCAGTCTCTGTCTCTCTTCCCCCGGCTTTAAATGTATAGGGGCTGGTCCCTTGGTAACCCTAGTCGAAGCCACTGCAGAGAAGAAGTTAGATATTAAGTGCAACAGAATAGCCCATGTCAACATCATTTACAAATTATCGGGTAAAAATATAATATGACTTTCTTTTTTTTTTCTTTTTTTTTTGACGCTGTCAGTCAAAATGATGGATCACAAAAAAAGTCCAGTGTGACCTCTTGCTGAAGCAAATCTGAAGAACAATGCTAATGCTAAAGCTACAATGTTCCAATACAGGCCAAAAACATAAGTTTGTGTGAATAGATGAGCAATGAAAATAATGTTTTCTAAGTGTACATGGGTCTCTCAGAAGTTTTAGACTTAAACGTTAATCTGGCATGGACCTGACCATCTGTGATATTAAAAGAGCGCCTAAATTGGGTGAGACGGTTTCACAGAGTTAACTTTTCATTCTTTTTTTTTTTTTTTTTGATGCTACTAGTTAAATGCGACCACAATTCACGGTCACGGTTGGTGACCCCAAAGTGACCCGCATGTGCAGAAGAACGTCAAGATGCTGTCGAAGCACTGTTTATGGAAGCAATAGCTGACGATGCCGTCTAAGAATAAAGTTTCTTTAAGTAGTTAAAGAAACATTTGAATGATGAGCTGGAACATTGAAAGGACTGAAAAAAATCCGTTCCTGAAGCCGGCGCCAGTTTTCTGAAGGATCCTTTTGTCTGGACGTACAGGAGGAAGTCCTCACAGGCAATCAAGTATTTCACTGCTTGTCCAGCAATTAAAAACCTCACAGATGACTGGAAGAAGAGCCGACTCTTCGCCTCACTTGAATGAAATTCTTTTGAGAGCAGCAAGGCTCTCTTCAGAGCTTAAAGCTGGAGCATAAAAGGACAATGGCTGCCTTTGAGCAGCTTTTTAGAAGTTAGAAGAAGTTGCTCGACTGGATGTAGAGCATGTTTCTTTTTATATATACATAAAAAAACAGTTGCATGAAAATGTTGCAAACCTACTGTAATGTCAGGATTTTTTTCCATTTTTTATTTTCTTAAGGCTTTAAAAAAAGGTAGGAAAAAAAATTTTGTGAAAATTTTTTTTTTTTAGGTGATCGATTGTAATTTTCTCAAAATACAAAGTTGTTATTTGAAAAAAAAAGATCAGTCGTATTGTTCTTTAGGGGTTATCTGATGTCACAATATGTGTTTTTTTTTTTTTTTTTTTTTACCTACAAGAGTCGTCTACAGTAGAAGGAAGGACCGTGTCGGTTGTCGTGCTTTTTTTGTCCGTTTGCCATATTGGATTTAACAAAAATAATTTCTTGCATGTGCAGCTGATGGCCAGTAGTTGATGGTGTATTTAATGATGCATTAGTGTCCACTTCAGTGGTCTGTGTGCATTTATAACATAAATATCCACAAGAAGCGGAAGAAAATGGCTTTTAGGTAGTTGTCCACCGTAGTGACCACTACGCATGAAAGAGTTAATAACAAATGTCCTATAAAGAAGCTTCTCCCAGTTGTGCTCTCCAAACAAAATGATGTCCTGTCTTTCACTGTGATGTCACAAACGTTTTTATTGTAGTCTCAATTCTCGCAACATACATTAATTACACTCTGTGTTTTATTGCTGCCGGGTCGTTCCACACTCAGGCCTGTTCTCTCTTTATGTACAGCCTGGAGGGTCGTGCATCACATCACCCCACGGTTCTAGATTTATGCCACCCATGATCCCAGTCTTGGAAGTGAAATGCAGGAGCAGAGGAAATGCATCACTCCCTTGTTGACTCCATTGATATATCACTTCCCAAACGGGTGACTGGGGCTCCTGCTTTCAGTCCGACCACAGAGGCAAAATATATGGAGTCGGACCGCGTGAGCGGACGTCCCAGTCCCACAGTCGTTCCACTTTCAGTCACATTGTAACCCTGAGGAGTCACAAACTTCTTTGCCAATTAAACAAACAAGAAGAAGAAGAACAAATACGGAGAAAATAATATAAATGTCCCTTATTGTCCCACATTGGGGAAATTCAGGTGTAACAGCAACAAAGAAACAAGTAAATCTAAAGAATTATGCTAACGCTAATGCTACGCTATAATGTCTTCTTTACATATATATAAAACCTCATGGTTTTTCAAAAAAACGCTGATTTCTGAACTCTTCCCGAGTTAAAACATTAGTTTTGTTGTTTCTAAATGAATATAAACTTGTTTTCTTTGCATTATTTGAGGTATGGAAACACGGCATCTTTTCTGTTATTTTGACAGAAACAAAATACAAAATCTTTGCTTGGAATTTCAGATGCATGTTGTCAGAAGTTCATAGAATAAAAGAACAATGTTCTTTTTACTATGAAATGAGAGAAATTGATCAGTTTTAAGTGGTCTCTTCATTTTTCCAAAGCTGTATTGTATATCAAAATATCTAATACTAATAATTAAAAAAACAAGTTAGGAATAGTAACATGGTGTGGAGTAAAGGCAAAATTATAGCATAATCTAAAATATACTTCAGTCCAGGGAATGTGCAACTGAGTAGGATATTTTTTTAAATGGACATGTATTAGAGTATTACAACAAAAGACTATTTACAATATATGAAAAATAAAAAACAGAGAAATGCAAATAGCACCAGGAATGTTTTTAAAAATCAGTAAAAACTATGCAAATACCAGCAGGAATCTAAAAACTTACTGATTTTTTGGGGATCAGTGACGGTATAGAGTCTAACAGCTGGGAGGAAGGATCTCCTATTACACTCCTTTGTGCACCTCGGATGCAGCAGCTTCTTGTATGGGGGTTCTGATTAAATATGGTGCCTTGCAAAATTGGTCAAAAACCCTTAAATATTTTCATATTCAGAGCTTTTATTGGGGTTTGGAGGTAAATTTTCCAAAGACTCCACCAGAAAGACGACCCTCAATTTCACCTTTAATATGTGTGAAGCTGGTAGTGACGCACTGTAAAAGTTGCTTCTACAATGTGCTGACCCAGGAGTCTAACACTTGGCATGACTTTGCGTGAAGCCAAAAATTCACAACAATGATTGACGCCATGTTGCCCATGTTGATATTTTCTGTTATAAAAATGAAAAGTTGATTTTGTCTTTTTTTTTTTTTTTTAATGTTCACATCCCTTTAAGACGCTGCTCTACGTCTCCAGGCTATTCATTTTAGTTTGTGTTAATCTGTTACATAAAATCCAGATTAAAAATTGATGTTTGTGGTTGTAACATAAGAAAATACGGAAACAATGTGCTTTCTTAATTTCATGTCCAAAAAGTCTTAACGCATTTTTTGGTACTGCTTGAAATTACTACCTGACTGTCATAAATCATTTAGCAGGTTATTTCTGGCGCTTTCATTCATTTCTGTGCGTTCAGATGTAAAGAGGGAAAGTTGCCTTCACTTCTCACAGAAAGTGATGCAACAAGATGGAAACCTTTTCTGGTACCCCTCCCCACACCCACCTCCTCCCTTTGCCCTTCAGGGGCGCAGCTTGTACTAATTCTGACCCCCCCCCACCACAACCCCTCCGTTCACATCCATTGCCTCTGTGATTCATCAGCAGTTGCATCACTCATCGTTTTCCTTTCTCACAATCAGATCAAGGCGTCGCAGCGGAACAACGGCTTCGTTTTCACTGCGTTCACGGTTAAACTCCTTAACCGGTAGAAGGTCTTTGTGTGTGTGTCGGCTCAGAAATCAAATAAAGTTGTGTCTTGTTTTCCTCAGATCTTCCCTGACGTGTCCCCACTGCCTGAAACAGAGCAACACCTTTGACCCTTTCCTCTGCATCTCGTTACCCATCCCTCTCCGCCAGACGAGGTGAGCCGACTCTCTTTAGGCTGACATCTACGTGCCTGCTCGAAAATACAACCAGCGTAAAGGTGGAGGTCTCTCACAGGTTACCAATTGAAAATAACTGAAACTATCGGTTCTTTAAGGAACTACCTGAGTGTTTTCATAGACGTGGATATTTTGCAAGGAGGGAAAAGTTTGACTAAAGATGGAAATAGAAAACTCTGTAAGGTTTAGGAAAACATAAACAAACACAAGCTGAAGAGTGACTGGGCAACTTGGTGCTGCGGTTGTGCGCTCCTCACTGATGCCGGGGCTGGTACCGAGGAGGAAAAGCCTCACAATGTCAAGGAACAATGTCTCATTCAACCTGACTTCGCTACACCCACGTTATCCTCCGTGGCAGGTTGGGAGCGCTCGCTCCGCTCAGGAAATCCTGGCATTTTTAAACGCTCCATTCAAGCTCTCCTTTTGTATTTATGCGTCCGTTTAAGCATTCTCACACACACATACGCACGGAAAAAATAACCCAGGTGTAAATATGTAATGGCATACGGTGAGTTCTTTGCAAATGTATTCAGTTTTTCCTCTTTTTTTTCAGATTTTACATGTTAGAACTTCAAATTTCAATTTATTTTAGTGGGTTTTTGTGTGAAAGGTCAACATAAATCAGCATAATCTGGAAGTACAAATTAAAAATCGAAATCTGAAAATAATATTTTACTCTGATACCCTTAAATTAAATCCAATGCAATCAATATCCATTCATCTGTCACTGAGGAACATTTCCACAGCTCCACCACCTCTGTCAGTAAAGTGGCAGCATCAGGCTTCCTTTCATCAGTAGCAGCAAAGCTGGTTAGAGTTAACATGAAAATGGAGCTAAATACAGCCTGGGAAAAACAAATCAATGAAATAATCATTTCCATTATATGCAGCTCTGGCTTAAAATGAGGAAAAATTAACGAATGTTTTAAATAGGAACTTAATAAGTTTTTTTTTTTTTTTTGATGGGCTTTTTTCATGTGTTAAATTTACTTTTCACAACAGTATAAAACTAAAAATATTAATGATATTATTAGGTCTTTTTTGTGATTAAGTTGGAAACTATGTCCCTTTTTTCTTCATTAATTTTCCATAAAGTCCAACACCCTGCAGAAGAAAATGTATCCATTCTGCATTTATGTAAAACCTGGAGGCGGATATAAAACTGGGTTCTTTAAAAACGACAGCAAATTTCCTCAAGTAGGTATTTATCAAAAACTATAAAGTTACTTTTTCTTTGAACATCACGTAACATTTGTAGATCAGAACATGTCTTATTTAGCTAAACCCGGGGTTGCAAAAGGTTGCAGACCCCGGGCTCAGATAAAACCAGATCCAGCTGTTAAAATGACCCAAAGTCACGATTTAAAATGAAAACATGAAATCTGTGGCGAGACTTCAACGTTTCATACTTTCCATCAACTTTCACTGAACGTAAACTATTTTGCTAAGGCAGATGAACAAATATTTCAGTCTAAATGTACAGCACCGGTTGACTTGCAGCTGTAAATGCAGTGACGGCAGCATTGGTAACAACATGTACGCATCCATCGTCTTCTTCTACTGCACAATGCCGAACTGCTGCATGTTGATCCGACATGTGAAATAATTGAGCACATTGAAGTTTGAGGCCTTACAAAACATGACCAGTTTTGTAAGGTGCTGGATGAAGTCCAGTTTTTTTGTTTTTGTTTTGTTTTTTACCTCAACACGCCCAACGTATCAACAGTAATAAACAGAATATTTTCCTGCGTTTTGCTCTGTTCCTGGTCTCGTCCTGTGGAGCTGAGCTGCTGAGGCGTTCAGGAGCACCTGCTGGGGCAGCTGTTAGGAATCATAATGAGCCAGATGAGCCGCCCTTACTGGCCTTCATGGACACACGTAGCATCCTTTTCACCAGAGCCAAAGGGAAAATTATTAGTTAAGGTGTTCAAAAAACATTAATGGATTTTTTACTTTTTTAAACTTTTTTTTAACCCTTTAAGACTTAAGCCAACATCCCTGTTAATTCTGAGACAGTTTTGAGAGTTTCATCTTTTTTCTTGAATGTATGGCAGCCAAGGTGAGACCAAGGGTTTAAACAGATTGTCTTCTAAAGCATGTTTTGAAGCAGAACAGTTCAGCTCACTTGCATCGAGGCCAAAAACACACACTTTTTGTTCCTCACCCAACATTCACCGTGGTTAGGAGTTCAAACTGTCGGCTCTGTCCTCTGAGAGCTTCATGCTATTTTTAATTCAGATCATTTGGCTTGCATCGTGCGCTGTCATGTGGGATTCTTCCTGTTTCTGTTTAAGTTTGTTTTCACACCTCATTGCCCACTGACAACTTTTTAAAAAACTGTTCCACTCCTCGCCTGGGGTGGCGCTGCTGCTGCACCAAGACCCGCTGAAACAAAAACCTGTGAAGAAGACTCTGAACTCTTTCTTCATGAAATGTAAACAAAAACGGAGTGGCGTGAGATTTTAGCAGTTGGTGGATTGCCAAAGGCAAAAGACGACAAGCCATTTCTTCTGCTACCATTGTTTTGGTTGTATTTACCCAGAATGCCGTGCGCTGTAATTTGTTTCTTGGTTTGAGAGCAGCTTCCGGTATGCTTTACAATCGAACTGCGTCGGAGTTCACTTCAACTGAACCGAAATGAAGGTTTCTTAGCAGAACAGAGTTCGCTTTCTCGGTTTGCAACAGCGTTCAATCTTTAAACGAACTAGAATTAGATTAAAGCAGAATAAGCAGGAAGCTAACGGCTAAAAGGGGCTGGGGTCATCGAACTTTGCTTCCTCACAAAGTTAAGGTAGGAGACTTTTCAAAGTTAAGGTAGGAGACTTTAGACCACCAATGATATTCCGCTAACTAAAAATTAGTTTGAGGTAACCCTGAAGTGCTAATCCTAATCATTAGGTCCGCTAACGCTAACGGTTCCATCTTCCTAACACCTACACTGCAACCAGGGCTTCTCTTTAGACATGTGACCAAAATAATGTACTTGGCTGGGATCATTAGGAGACTGTTTATTTAGCACAATCCTAACATGAAATAGAATGGGGTTCGCTGCCTCTAATTTATGACATCCAACTTATTATTGAGATTATTTTGGTTAGAATTCACAAATCTGATACTTCTAACATGATTAGAACTGAATAAGCCTGTTAAATTGTACATGAATCCTCTTCAGTAAACAAGAGAGCAAATCCATTTAACCAGTATGACATTTTTGAGATTGGAGCACATTTGAAGATGTAGAAGTCCAAGTTCCTGTTGGACTAGCCATTAGTCTCAGTCTCAAGGAACAACTAATCTGGGTTTTTACTAAATGAAGAGTTACCTGCTGCAAGATGCTAGGTCCTTATACCCTTTTGACATAAGCCTAAAATTAAGGACTCTTTAATGTTTTGCTCGATTATCTTATATCAAAGTTTTGTCATGTCTTTGACGGACTCTCCCTTTAGTAAATACTCGCACTCTCACCCGGTGAAGCTCTAGCAAATCCAGAAAATGGAAGAAAACGAGTGACAAAAATGAGCCCGACAGCACACGACTCGAGGCAAAGCGACTCCAGCATCTCATCAAGGGATCTACAAGTAGCTCCCACAGCCGCACACGTCAAAGCGTAGACGTCTCCGATCAGAGGGAGAGTTCATCTGTTTGACCTTCCTTACACGCGAGCCTGGGGAGAAAAAGAACTGCGCTGTCAGAGAAGAACCTAAGAGTAAAAACCTACAGCTCTCAGGCAATTCCACCAAGTATTGACTCAAAGAGGAAAACTTCACAGGGTTATTGAATGACGCCGTCAGAACGGATCCCGTTGAGTTTTTGTGGGAGGATTTTTAAACCGGCAGTGCGCGGCAAGTCGTAACTTTCTCAAAGATACAGAGCTGAAAACTGTTTCTGTACAAAAATGAACCCAAACTGGTTATAAGTCCACCAAACGTTCATTTTTGAGGAGTTTGACCTTGTGACTCAAATGTATGAACTCACAATGACCCAATAGGCGACAGACAATATTTATTATAAACTAACTAAGCTAAGTTCTGATGTTTTAGAGTAGACTTGGTAGGTAGTCAACCTATTGTTTTTTTTTTTTTGGTTTCTTTTTTTAAAAATGTATTTCTACATTGGCTGTTATGTTCCTAATTGTGCTGAGTTTTACATGTTTGACCAAGCTTGTGAAGTTATTGGTGTATTTAAGTGCTGTACTGGTGCTGAGTTATAAAATAAATTTACAGTTCAGTTCATTTATGTCTGCATTTGGAAAAAAATAAACGGTTTTAGTCAATTCAGTTCTGTTTTTCTGTATCGGATCATTATCGGCCGATACTAAACCTCAGATATTGTTATTGTTGTTGGAAGTGAAAAAAATACATCCCTAGTAATGAAGCGAGTATTGATAAGTGATAAGTGATCGGACCAATGAGGAATTTCTAAATCAGGAAGTGACAACTATAGAAGTCATAGAGGCGAGAGCTGAAATCGAGTTACTGAGTCTGGAAGACGAAGAAGTCGGTGAGCAAGTAACAATTCTTTTTAACCCCCCCCCCCCCCCCCATCATGAAAAGGAGGAGGACTGGATTACTGCAACCAAGACTCACAATCTGGCACCTCACGAGAGGCTCACTGTCCTCCTGTTGTGCAGCTTGTTGAGCTGAGGTTTTACAGCTGGTAAGGCATCAGAGCGTCAACCGCAGAGTCCTCAAGGAAATGAGCAACACAGGAAGGAGGAAACGGAGGGAAAATAATGACCACAAGAGCATATAGCAGCACAAGGAAATATAACCGTATGTGTCTACGTACATGCTGTTTTCAAATCTAGAAAAATAAATCCGTCTATATTCTTTTTGGGAAATCTGGATGCATAATGTAGCATTTTCGCCAATAGTTTTCAACTGAGAAAGACGTGCAGAATGTAATTATTAAGCCTCTTTTGCAGTGGGAGTGAGATGTCTTTTTTTACTCTCTCTCTCTCTCTCGTTGGAATGGGTAAAAGTTAAAGTGACCTTGGGGAAAAAAATTACTTTTATAATCGAAATTCATGTCGTTCACATCCTCATTCAATTTTTAACAACTCTACAGACTTTGTACTTCTTAACCTTTATTAACCTCCGCCGCTGGAATACCAACAGAGTCTCCAGTAGGACACAGCTAGCCTTCCATTCGGCATCTTTTTATGAAACGTAGCGGCCTTCTTTCCCCACATGCTGCACATGTGCATCGAATGCTTCGTGAATTTTATTTAATTTTTTAATCTAAACATGCTTTTTGTCCCGAATGCTTCAAAATATCAACAACATGGATCAGTTAAGCCGCTTTTCAGGGGAAGTAACGATTCTGCAGGAATGGTTTGTGGTGCTGCGACTATTTATAAGCCTTCCTGTTTTTATTTGAATTTGTGTGGTTTATAAATTTAGTTTTTATTTCAGAGACCCTTTTTTTAAATACAAAAACTCAGCTCATAATCCATGTTTTTTTTTTTAAATCTAAGTGTAAATCATTTTGTAATTGATTTCTCATGGTGATTAAACAAAATCAAATTTACGTTGATGCATATAATCATACTCGTACTTTAAAATGGCAAAAAAAACCTCTCTGCTTATCTCATTCTGTACAATTGCTGTCTTTTTTTATTTCTTTGGCTGGTTGGTTTTGTCTAAGTAGTAATCTGTTCCTGACTTTTCGTCCACTGAAGAGGTCAGAACCAAGCACTGCCTACTTTAAAAAATGCAATAGAGATCTCCCATTATTTCACACTCATAAAGCTGAGTCCTAATTATTTATTATTTATGCTAAAAAGCATTGCTTTATTCATGGATGCCTTCTTCTGTCTCTTCATGGCAGGGGAGGATCCAAAGAAAGACAGAAAAAAAATGGGGGAACAGAAATCAAAATGGAAGACGCGTTACGTCTGGTTTTCTCTCGTCTTTTGTCTCCATCAGGCCGCTGTGCATCACTCTGGTGTTCAGCACCAAAGGCCAGCGGTACCTGCGGGTCGGGATGGCCGTGCCTCTGTTCGGCTCTGTGGCCTGCCTGAGGAGGATGGTGGCAGATGAGGGCAAGCTCTCTCCAGACCAGGTAACTCCTGAAAACAACAGAACCAGGAAGAGCGTTGTGAGAGGAACCTGAAAGCAATCCGTCTCCTGCGTGTCTGCCGGTGTCATCCTCCAGGTGATCCTCACAGAGGTGTACTCCACCGGGTTCCACCGCTCCTTCTTTGACGAGGACGACCTGACGTGCATCACCGAGAACGACGTCATCTACGCCTTTCAGGCGCCCCCGCTCTACATCAGAGGGGGCTCTGCGCGCATCTCAGGTAGCTGTGGGAACTGAGCTCGACTGTTTTTTACCTTAAAAGTTGTTTGTCACAAAAAAAAAGCGGCGGCGACGCACGCAGACAGCTGTCAGTCTGAGCTCTGCCTCACGAAAAGTATTTAATACAATCCTGGGAGTTTGTCATGTTTTGTCAGGTTACGAGTCACAAACTTTAGGGAGAGAGTTTAAACAACAGACCAGCACAAAGCGGTGTGTGATCGTGAAGCAGAAGGAAAAACGTAGCTTTCAAAAGTTGAGCAAATGGAAATCTGAAAAGTGTGACTTCATGTGATCTCCTTATGTTTGGTAATATTGTTCAGAGAGAAACGGACACATTATGTTTAGGGTAACTAATTGCTCTTTCTGAACTACTTTATTTTTTTTATGTTCACCTGTTGTTTTTGTCAGTTTCTTGATTATTTATTTATTGTTGTGGCGTTAAGGATCCCCATAAGATTTTACACTCACTTAATTAAATGAATTCACCTTAAAAATGCCCCATAAACTTTAACATATTTTGGGTGATTTTAATATCCTACAAAGTTAATTTTTACAGTGTATAAGGCTTGTAAAACAAATCTGTGGTTGAAGATTATTCTAAATAAGATAAAGATAGCTTCTGTGTACAAACTTTACAACTCAGCTTTGATTATCTAATTTTTTTTACATCCAGCTGCAGGAATTGTAATAGACCACACTTATGAAAAAATGCATATGTGCATTTCTATTCCTGATTGAAACATAAGAAGCATTTTGAATGCTTTTCCTTCTATCTAAGGAGACGGTCTCGGTTGGTTTTAGAAGAGAAAAACTGATGACAATGCCTCCAAAACGCTGGTGTTTCTAGCATAACATCAGGAAGTGTCCATTATTCATGAAAAGCGAGCCAAGCAGATTCCTCCATCCAAAGAAGAGTGTGGACTTATGCAAAAGAAATCCCTCTCAGTCATAAATAATGTCTCATTAGAACTGTGTGGTGGCTTCCCAGCAGAGCCTCTGGCCACTCTGCCTTTATTGTGTTAGTTTATTATTATTATCTCTGCCACAAAGGGTCCAAGTTTTTGTGTTGTTGATTTTTAATTTTGGGGGGGATTTGTTGTGAGAAATGTACAGATTAGGCCATATTGGGTTGAAAAATCATTGCTCTTTATACAATTTAATTACTTTTACAAATTAAATGGATTAATTAATCAGAAAATGGGTCGAACTGCCCTCCTGTTGGAGCCACTTTAAGCATTTGGCATGCTGAAGTGAGTAAATGTTCATCAATGCACAAAAAATCATGCAGGATTGATCCAATCATAAATTTTTTGCCTTTTTATTAATTATCTTATTCATTTCATGCTTATTGAATGCAATATTATTGACTGGACTGCCTACAGCACCATAAATGTGGTTTAAATTTAAACAATATGATCCATAAAAAGCCATGAATTGGTTTTTGATTAAATCCTATTGATGATCCTATTAAACAATAAATGTAGATATTTTTAGATGTATCATCCATTTTATCTTGTGTGCAAGTGAAGGAGTGGAAAGTGTCAAGATCCTTGGACTGAGTCTTGGAGAAACGAGTAACTGTAAGATCTTTCCACTTGTATTCGCTCTCTTGCATCATCCTCTTCCCTCTACATATGTTGTATAATGTGGTCTAATTCAGAATGCCTCCTGTTGTTTCATAGTCAGTGATGGAGGGCAGAACCCAAAACGGTTTGAGAACAAAATTCAAAAAGTGCCGTTTGTGGAAGACAAAGATCGAAGGAATGACAAGATTCCTATTCTGTGCATTTCCAACTTACAAAACTTACAAGGGAAATGTCGCTGCTAAAACAGATTTCTCCTTCCATCCATTTTTCCATTTATCCATCGCGACATTTTGTTTGCCTTCAGAACTCGATGCCAGGCCCTTACCAAGCTATTCCCACTATTTGATTGTGTTATAAAATGGCACTGTGCCTGGAAAATACTTAAAACTGCCCCTTCAAAATGTGTTCTTACCGTACCACATCACTGAGAAAACTGTAAAACCCTCGCTAACATCAATCTGACTAAGCCACAGGGGCTGTGCTGTTATGTTGATTTAATTAAAATATTAAAAGTGGCTGTGAAGCAATTCAGCAGACATAATTACACAAGAATATTTGTTCTGCTGTACATGTGGCAAAAGCACCAGACACGAATTTCACCCGACCACCGTTTCTGTTCCCTACATGGCAAAGTGGAAGCAGTTGCTGCGATGTGGAGGTGTTTAATGACGAGCTTAATGACTGTACTCAGTGTGGCTCCACCGGCGTCTCTGTCTGACGCTAAAATGAGTTTGGGGGAAGACAGAGGTACAACGTGTTCACAAGCTTCCTATAGCTACCAAGAGTCAGTCCTCTGCCTTTCTAGAAAACAAGATTAGCATCAACAAGTTTGTTGGCCAAACACAACCTAGTGAATTATGTGACACACACTTTATTTATCAGGGAAAATGCCAGAGCAATGAAGTCAGCATCTCCTTAGAGCTCGTCAGCAAAAGAACATTTCCTGGTAGGTTGCCGCGTTGATTGACAAAACACATTGGACCAACACCGGCAGATAACATGCTACCCCAAATAACTGTGGAAACCTCAACATTAACCTGAAGCTGTTTGGACTTCGTGTTTCTCCAGTCTTTATCCAGATTTTGGGATGACTTTTCAAATGGAATGCATCATGTGCTTTAATCTGAAAAGAGACATTAGAGCAGCAATTCTCTATTGCCCACTTAAGACACTTCTGTTATCTCTGGTTCAGGCTTAACACAAAGAATGTGACGGTCATAGGCCATATTCTGGACACGTCTGTGTTTGGTGAGTGACTTCAGCCAAAGTCCACACACCTTGTGAGTCTCCCTCAAACTATTGAATAGGTTATGATTCACAAACCCTCTGGTAGTGCGTCTTTTTCAACAACACTTTGTCCTTCCACTCATACGGCCCTCTGTGGACACTCTGTCATCGTCTTTAGGCATGTCATTTTATGACTTGCCGTCTTTATGGTTGGATTCAGTGGGTCAGGTGAGCAGTCTACCTATTTGCGAGGACTTTCTGTGGTTCACAGGCTAGGGTTTGTGAAGCAAGTCACTGAAATAATGTAAGTTTTTAAGGATATTCTATGTTAATGAGATGCACTTGAATAGTCTCTCCAAATTCCTTCCCAGTGGATCAAAAACCTCCAAACAGTAAAACCTAGGCGACGTCCTACTCCATCCTTCCCTCTATGAGGGTGAGGTTCCACATCCCCAGAGTAGGACCATCAGGAAGTGGTCAGCCACCCACCTCCCTACTGGTTGGGAGGAGCCTTCCCATTACTTTTGAGCAACTTTTTCTTCACAGATTCCCTGGAGTTGAGGTGTAACCACCAGGTGCACTCTTCACCCAGAGATTGTCCCTGGGTAGTCTTCTTAAACCTGAATTAGGTTTCCACGTTTGTGGTTTTCTGCAATTAAGTTCCTTGAAGTCGTCTCAATCTAATCGCCTGTGATGATCAGAGAGGTCAAAACCCCGGACAACATAGCATTCAGGCTCACAGCAGTTCTCACAGCGCTCTACCACTTTCAGGTGGCATTTTCTTATGTCACAGATTTAACAGAATGTCCTCATGCTTTCCTGGCTATACTTAATGAGGCAGGACTAAAGGTCAGTGTCGTGTCTTCACGTTTCACTGAGAACTCGTGATTTGCTCTTGTTGCAGAGTTTGCTGCCAAAGTAAATGGAAGCACATGATTAGGCAAATTTTCTCGCTCGCTTCATTAGAGAGACATTAAAAAGTGAAAGACTGCATAATAATCATTACACTCTCTCTCGTGGGCAAGACGCTGAATGCTTCAACAGAGGCTCGGCTGTTTGTGAGATCCTCTACCGTGGAGTTTGCTTTGTTAGTGATGAATTGGGAATCATTGACGTGTAATAAAAATATTGTGGTTTTAGGAAGGGACAGCTGTCGCAGTCGATCGATGCCTCGCTCCAGTGTCTACAAGTTTTCATTTATCACCTCGAACTTCTCTCGAGCTGACACCCGAATTCGCCTGCTTTTTGTGACGACAAAGAAAGCTTGTCCTCTTTGACGTTACATCTCCCAGGGATCTTATCGTTTCAGCTTTCCTTCTCAGTCAGACGCACTCCTCTGCGCTAGAAGAGACACGATGGGGAGGCAGGGGAGCAGCGTTGCTGCCTGGCACCCCACCAGGACAGGATGTGCAGCAGATACGGCCTCCCGCTGATAGAGCAAGCCGCCATTGGTCCATCTGCTCCCCCAACTGAATCACCGTTCTTCAAATAGAATCTGCTGTCTTGCCAATTTGTGTATCTAAGTAATCTGTTTCAATCCCTCGTTTGAGGTGTTAACTCAGGTTCAACGGTCATTGTCTCTGAGCTCACAAAAGCACTTGAGCTGTGAGCTTATCTATGCAAGCAGTGTGAAAAGGAGAAAAATGAAGGGTTCTCCAAATACCGTTTCCTGTTTCTCCTGTCTCTTTACTCAGGGTATCATCACAGCTTGCCGTCCTCTCCTTACTCCTCCGGCCCTGAGGGTCAAAGGTTACCTTCCTCTGGAGCCTTATCGTCAGAGTTCCTCAACCACGGTGTCCCAGTCAAGATCCTGCTGCTGGTGTGCAATGCTGCTGGAACAGGCCAGCAGACTGCAAGGTAAATATGCTAATAACAGGTTAGAAACCACACCAAGGCAATGAAGACACGTCAAGTTTGGGTTTAAAGTCGGACATAAAAGCTCCTAAAAAAAGTGTATCTGTTCACGTTGCTCGCATTAGATTTCCACATCGTACTTGTCTGTAATCTTCAGGTTTCAAAATCTGCTTTATCGACTTACCGATTTTAAATAAAAGTTAAAGAAAACACCTAGAAATAAAAGCATGTTAAACTCCAAAGACAGTCTCTACAGTTTGTAAATGTTCTTATTACCCTGTGGAAAGAAGACGATAAAGTAGAGGGAGACAGAAGGTCATTAGTGCAACCCATTTACTCAATTACACTGTTTAACTCATGAATGGATTTTCCTTACAAATGTGATAACCATTTAATGGGAAATAAGCGCATTATCTAACTCTAGACAATAGATTTTTGGGGGGGAAATAATCACCAAAGTACAAATTCTCTTTTCTTTAAGTTTATTTTTGTTCTCTGTACAATTTGACTTCAAGGGTTTTAGCGCTGTCAATCACTCTCGTGCTCACCCCCTTCTGCTTGCTTCTTGCTAAGCTACTGCTGGTTTACCAAAACGTAGCCTGCCTCAAATGCTAAGGCTAGTTAGCATAGCCATGAATGATGGCGGATAAATGGTTTTCCAGTAACAGTGAGATGTTTTTCCACTGTTGGCACATTGAGCAGCGTACACGTGATTGATGGACAGCGCTAAGACACTCCTCCTGGCTCTGATTGGTTGTTTCTGGTCGGGAGCCGTGCGTTTTTGGCAGACCGCTGAAGTAGCTCAGGAAGGAGGTGGAGGACATCAATTTTTATTTTTTTTCACAGACTGTCTCATATCAAACTGTCACAACATGACAATACGTGACAAAAAGTAGTTTTGTAAACGTTTCATACTGCACCTTTAATCACCCTGATCAACTTAAATCCAGTCCCCATCATATGTTGCTCCCCCTCTGAAGCTCGGAAAGCATTTCTGGTTCTCCGTTATAAAATAAGCTCAAATGAATTTGGATCTCAGTGAGGTTGGATCCAAATCAAGCGACAGCTCTAACATCCGGCACCACGAGGAGCACCGTCATGCCGTCTCACTGTCACGGTCCAAAGAGGTCAATACAGGTGAGATGACCAACACCGCAGTGGAAACGTTAGCTCCCATCCACGAGGGCCGTTATCTCTTTTTCTCCTTCAGACGCCTTTCTGTCATTGCTCAATCCACCCACACACACACACACACACACACACACACACCTCTCCCTTCCTCTCTTCAGATGACAGCTGGAGAGCCCAGCCAAGCCAAGAACATGACATTGGAGTCGCACGCACTCGGTTTTCATTCCCAGATCTTTCTAGAATAACATCACAGGTACATTACCGAAAAGAAAACAGCACCAAACTCTCCACTTTCTTCATATCTCTAAACTGTGAAATCATGTTTTTAACGTGGAAAAATTCCAAACGTTCTTATCGTCTCTTTTCCAAAGTTGGGATGGAATCTGTGATGTTTCACTTTGGTCACACTTTTGTGCTCATTTTCTGCGTGGAGGCAGGTGAAGACATAAAACACACACACAGACACGCATTCCTGAATTCCCGGGCTGTAAGGAGAGACTTTATTGCCTGATTTGCAGCATTTCTCTGATGGATGGGAGAAATGCACAAAGCATGTCCTGCAGCTTCAAGGACCGACAGACACGCACGTTTTTGGGATGACTAAATGCAACCTTGCATTAAGCCGCTAGGACATCGTGCATGTCTTGTCTGGGCGAAGCAGACAAAAGTCTAGACTGTTTCTGTTAAAGCACACGAAGCTTCCCAAATACCTCAGCAGAATCAGGATTGAACGTGTGTGCTGTAAACAGAAACAAGCCTTCTCAGTAGGCTGACTTTTCTGGATTAAATATCATTTTTTGACCTCATAAAGTGTAGTTTTCATTTCTTATCAAAATGAACAGAAATAAAGACTAAAATTTTAGTCTGTCCACAGTTAATCCGCATATTACACCATATTTACCATGTTTTTTTATGATTATCATTTTTAGCTTACTGTAGAATTCTACTTTATTATTATTTATTCAACTTTAAGCTAAAAGTAAGCTAAAAGCTTTTCATTACAAAAAATTCAGCCCTCCCCACCCCAAGAGGGCTCCCAAGAGCATCATTTGATTTTATTTTGTAGTGCACATTTTTAGTGACAGATTTTAAAAGTAATAGACATCAAACTTGCCAACTTGTTTACTGTAAAATTCAGTTTTTGTCTGCAGATGTTATTAAATTAATATCCCACACTCTCCATTTAAAAATGCAAATTAATTAGAGCATATTTTCTTGTTCGTTGTTCCTGTAAGGTTAAAATAGTTACACCAGTAAGATGTGAGTTAATTACAAATTACACTAATATTAGAAGGTATGTTACACACATCGTGTAGCCGAGGAACGATGACGTATCTGATGTTGACATGTTGGTGTGGGGGGGGCCTGAATTAAAATCTGCCTTGGGCCCCTAAAAGGCTTTCACCGGCCCTGCTAGATGGCATAAGTAAAATAAAACAGATACGTAAATTAACTTAAAACAGAGTAAAAATCAATTCATTAATCAAAAATAAAAACGACCCAAAAGACTCAAATTTCTATATGTCATATGATCATATCTCAGGATTCTTATAGGAAAAAATACCTACATAAAACACAGTCAAACCTTTAACATAAGTAATAAACTCTGAAAAAAGTTTTACTGAATTCATCCTGGTGTTCACACGTTGCACCTTTTGTTTTCCAGCTCTAATCCCAGCATTACGTTATTAATCTGTTGATCATATTCACTCCAGTTTCCCATTTTTTGGTTAGATTCAAGAAATAAATGAACTTTTCATTGGTATTTGTCTTTTTTTTTTTTTTTGTCTGCTACCCTTGCCATCGTCTCGTTCAATCACATCCTCACTCCAGCTTCTGTTGTCGCATCTCAACGAGAAACGATGAGAAAACAAAACAATAACGATGCGTTATTAGCGTAATGCAAAAATATTGCCATGAAACAAATTAACTTTGCGTCGTTATGCACATCTCTCCCTTTCTGCCCGGTTACTGAATGGTTCTGGATGCTCATATTGTTTCATCATAATAAATCTCCCCGAACGCTGGGGACGGCTGCCCTCAATTAGACGTGTGTTATAATGGGCATGTCATGTGATCCGTCATCTCTGAGAAATGATTTTCCCTCCTTATCGTCCTTCTCTGCCCTTCCGTTTGCGATGAGAACTGTGTGCCAGTGCGCCGCATGACTAATAAAAGAAATAAATAAAAAATAACGTGAGCATCGTTATGACTGAGCACAGATAATGTGGGTTTAGTTGTTCCATTTTGTGTCATCGATTATCTTTTATGTTTGTTGGAAGGTTTGGGCCGCCGTTCCTAATGAGGGAGGACCGGTCTATTTCCTGGGACCAGCTCCAGCAGAGCATCCTCAGCAAGCTGTATTACCTGATGATCAACGGCGCTCACGCCCAGGTAGCCGCTTTACACCAGTATTCATGTGACGGTGAACGTGAAACTGTTTTGTTTTGCTTCCACTACCGTGTCTTTCTGCCCCAAATGGATGGTAGGCATTTATTTAAAGGGGAAAATATGACAGTTTTATGCTCCTGTTTGGGTCTCAGCTTCTTCTAGAAGCACTTATCCCTTCGATGTTACTGTTTTTTTGGTGTCTGGAAAGTTAACCAATTCAAAAACCTCCCAATTTTTGAGTCAACTTCGACGGGGCACTGCGCCGTTCCCTTGGTCAGTTGTGAAATGGCTACTGAGGAAAAAAACTTGTTTTATTGTTGACTTCCCATTCAGAAAACAATTGCTGCATTCTTGTTGATTGTGCAGGAGGCTCTGCTTCTGCTTTTCAAAGATGTACGGTTGTACATTTGCCCCTGTGCTTGCAGCCGTTTTCATGTGCGACTGTAAACATTGAGTTTTGGGCGTGACCAACTCAACGGTTGGATTTAAAGTGACAGGAGGCCCTACAACAGAACTGAAATCTCATTGTCTCAGAATGATTTTGTGCAAAAAAAAGAATGTAATCAGCATAATTTGTGCAGCCTGTGGAGTTATGCTAATCTGTTCAAGGAAGCATAATAGGTCACCATTAAGAAGCAAAAAATCTTAAAATATTGTCACTTAAAGCAAAGTAGGCAGCAAATGAGGTAAAAAAAAATCTCAAATCAGCAGTAAAATAATGTATGGCAGTAATTTAATCAGGATATTAAGTATTAAAAAAGGGGGTAAAATAATGAACCGTCTATGAAATTTATAGAACCTATATCGAGCGTCCATGTGTGAGTGTGGGTGTGCTGTGAGCGCCGGCTGGACCGGGACATGGTTTCCGTCTGCCACATCGGCTGGTGCACCTGTTCCTGCGCGAGTTTATTGACTCGAGAGAGAGGAAAGCATGGCCGCCCGACGGCGCCGGGTAAACCCGGTGGGAAGGGAAGCTCCAGCCGCAGATGGAGGGAACCGCCGCTGAACGTCTCGCGGCTCTCAGCGGCGTGGCTAAGTAGCCTCAGGTGATTTGTTCCCTGGCCAAGTCACGGTCCACCGCAGGAACACAAACAGAGACTGGAGCAGAGGATCATGTATAGAGAGTGTTTTTCAATGAATAGAATGGTAACGGTATAATAATGCAAGATAACATTCTCGTAGATAAAAAAAACTTTAAATTCTGATGGATGGTCAGCACTGGAACCGGAAGACATTTTAGCTATCCAAATAAACAAAACAAGAGAAACAACAAATTAAATTATTTATAAAGTCTCTGTAAGCAAAATTGTCCTTCAAAAACAGAGCTAGTTGAGACCAAAGCACCAAACTGAAGACATTTATCATCCAGTTTTTCGTAGAAAAAGAGTGAAAATAAACAAAAAACAACAAATCATGAAAATAGAAATCATTGATCTTGTTTTATTTATCATGTGATTAATTGATTTATTGCTTATTGTGACACGCCTGGAGTTTCCTGCTTGACCTGGAACGTTTTTATGTAGTTATTATTGAGAAGGGAGCTGAAGCCAAATGAACACCTCTCTTTCCATGCTTTCATTCATAAAACATTTTTCAAACCATATATAAATTTTTTTCTTCAACTTCAAAACTATGAGCCATTTTTTTGTTGGTCTCTCATATATCTCATCCAGAACAAATGTGCGTAATTTTTTGTCTATATTCCGCTAATGACGGAAAAAAAACACAGTTTTGCAATTGTGTTGTTTACATGAGAAGAAATTAAATGAAAATCACACAAAAAGACATTAAAAGTTATGGCAGCGGCGGATGTAAACAGTTATTTGACTTGTAATTTGTAATTTTTGTAATTTGTAATTCGGCCGTCAGGGGAAACGACTGCGTCTTATTCAGACGTTGAAATGAAAAGATCTTGATACTTGGAAGCAGCGACGTATGTGGCATTTTGGGGAAATTGTAGTCAGTTATTTCACAGAAGAGCTTTGGATTCAACACGCTGGAATGATGCCCAACTTTTTATGCAACACTGTGAGAGCTCTGGTGGAGCCAGCCGCACATGAACAAAAACAAACCATCATCCTCCCACCACTTCCTGTCGTCGTCTTTGTCGTTCCTGCCAGTGGTAACATCCGGCTGTTGATCACGTGATTCCTCTGATGCGAACAAAAGTGTTTCCGTTGCAGTTTTGCATAATACATCTAATTTGATACATCGACAAAACATCTCACCCAGCACAAAAAAAGTTTAGCGAAAACTTTGTTTTTTTCGAAATTGCAGTGTTTTCATTAAGCTAATTTATTTCCATAATTTCAAGTTGTGCAAAGCTATGGTTAATGGAAACGCAGCTTTTGAAATGCTGTCTTGATTCGACCAAAAAAAAGTGAAACATTTTAGGGGCTGTGAATACTTTTTTTAACGTATTTTAAATCTAAATTTTCAGTTGTTGCTGGCTGACATAGTAAAGAAAAACTTGGTCGTTATTGCTTCCAAAGGCGAATCAACAAAATATTAATACTTAAAATAATTAAAAAGCTGTGAATACTTGTGCATCCCTTTTCTTTCTTCTTTTTTTTAAATAAAATTTCAAAACACTCAAAAATCTTGTTTTCCACCTCATCATTACAGGGTAGAACTTTGAGGAGAAACATTAATTTAACCCGATTTAGTGAAACACAACAGAATGTTGAAGAAGTGGAGCACCGTGTTGAACAGGTGGCATCCTTCCACGCTGGATTTCTACCCCATTTATTTCACAATATTTATAAAATCACTCTGCATGCATCGTTTTTGGATTTCACACACCTGTGGCCAATTATTTGAGCCAGCCACCAAATATTTCTGATCACACCATCGATCTCTCTTGCACCTTTCTCGACATGGTTAGCTACGGAGTAGAATGTTGCTTTTGTTCCGACGGAGTGAAATTCAATTAAGCTTTCTGTCAATCTCTCGACCAAACAAACGGCTGTTTTGTTTCCACACCTGCTGTCAAGATTGTAAAACCAGAGAGATGATAATGCAAATTCAAATGGAGGCGGCCGTGCCGCTCATGTGGTCAAATCAGTTATTTACTTCCCGGGAGATAAGTGGTCCTTTAGATTCATTGTTTGCTCACAGACTCGGTTCCTCCCAACGAAGACGTTTGTGTGTTTTACCGTGAGTGTCTTGGTTTCGGTTGTGTAGCCAAACGGAATCGTAGTCGCGCGTGAAGCCAGGTGACGTTTATTAGATGCAGCGCGGGTGATGATATGTGCAGCGGGTCTCGCCGTGCTCTCCGAGTCAGAGGAAGAAAAGAAGACACAGATGCAGTGTGTTCGCAAACTCCTTCAGAGATCGTCTTTGTGCCCCTCGCCGTCAGCCGTTTAATTAAAGCCGAGCTCATAAAGCGTAATCAGTTCGCTGGCGCACACCTTCGCCAGAGAGGGAGCGATGCTCAGAGCAGATGTTTGCTCCAAACCTTTCATCTCTACAGAATTTTTGGTTTTTTTTTTTTTTTTTTTTTTTTTTGCAACACCAAATTATTCTCCCAAGTGGATTTTTAACTCATTTTAGTTTCAGCGATGGTGCAGTTCCCAAAGCATAAATGTAACTTTTTCACAGCCATTTTTTTTTATTACTGTTGCTAACATAATTTAGCATGCTTTATTTTAGCAGTGATATATGACCACAGATGATATTAAAGGGACCGTATCATGTATAATTGGCTTTTGTTTTTAGCTTTACATCACGTTTTAATGTCATTCCCTCATCAATACCTGGAGTGTTGAATTTATTCTTTTACGTATGTTTGAGAAGTCCTTTAATCTCCCATGGCAACCATTCAGCTGTGTAAAACCTAGCCCTGCCTTCGAGGGCATCTAATTGCTACTGGCTCCTTCAGACTAGCCAACACCAATTAGCAAACACCTGGTGGAACTGCGCATCAGCTGAGCTCATTACAGGAGCTGCTGCTCAGTGCAACGCTGACAAAAACGTTGTTAAAGGGTTAACATGTTGTGATGACTTCCTGAAGGCAGAGTTTCAGAAAGAGCAGGAGCTTCTTAAAGAGACAGAGGCCTTTTTTCATCTGACAGTGCAGTGTGACAGAGAATCACACCAGCTGAAAATGTAGCAGATGTTGCCATTTTGATTTGTCCAGTCAAACCGAGTCTACCAGACTATCAGTTGTGGAAACAACCTTAATCTGAGGTCAGACAATGTCGTGTTTTCCGTCCCGTTTTTATCTTTGCTGAAGATTAAGAAAAGTTTACCTGAAAACAAAGATTCTCTTAAGTAAGATATCAAAGCTGAGGAGCAGAGCAAATGTAAAAGCAATATGACCTTCTAATTGTGATATTACAGAGCAAAAAGCTGAGCTAAAACCAGTCTGGTCTGAATTTACAAGATTTTATTTTATTTTTTCCCCCAAATTTGACCCCATAAAAAAATGTTTGAGCCAGGATTCAATCTTGATGTTTTTCCTTAAACTCGGCATTTCATTCAGGGGGAAAACTATTTGCAAATACTCCACAGACGCTAGAAGCTGAGAGTACGCTAATCCAACCGGGGGAAATGCTGAAGAAAAGCACCTGAACTGTCCAGCTCTCTGAAACAAACTCCCTTCTTGGAAACAAAGCGGGGAAATATGGACGAATTTGTAGCTTTTTAATTGAAAGCAGCTTATTGGAAATGTTTTATTGGAGAGAGGGCAGCTCAAAGTCACCAAACAGACCCAGGATGGGGTGCGTCACACCGCGTTCCTCTAGCTTCCAGGCCGTCACACAGATAGAAAAAAAAAAAAAACCTGCTCTTCTTAGTTTGACATCTTTCATCTGGAGGCACGAGGCAAAATCTCAAATTCACCAGAATAAATGAACTAATTGGAAATAGAATCTTCCTTGGATTCCTGTGTAAAGTTTACATCCTCCAAACGTCCTTCACTGAAACTTCAAAATAAATTTTTCCAGGTTCAAAAGTCAAAAACCAAGGATTTTCTCACGCTCCGTCATTCCTCTTGACTGGAGGCATGAGAGGAATTTCACCAGGACGCTGTCCAGATTTTCACACTTAGCGATGGCTTTTAGGTAGGCTTATGCTTTTCTGCAACACCTCAGTAGGAAAAAGCAGGTGGAGATGCGTTGTAATACACAGAAAATCTTGGCTGTAACTTAACAACGTACTTAACATATTGGCAAGATAAACAGAAACAGTAGAAATCTTAATAAATGTAAGCATTTCCCCCTAAATAAATAATCATCTCAGAGCACAATCAACAAACTATGTTAACTTGAGTTGTTATAAAAGGTGGTATACATATCAAATGATTTAAAATAAATTTCCTTACTAATTGTGGTTGCCATGAGAGACGAGAGGATTTCTCAAACACACACGAAAGAATCGAGGCAACACTCCAGGTATGTTGTTGATGAGGGGATAACATTATAACATGATGTAAAGCTACAGAAGTAGTTTATTTTACATAATACCGCCCCTTTAATGTTTTGGCCTTTGAGATTGACCAGCAAGCTATTGTCAGAACTGAGTTTTCCATTCTATGAAATTTAGAGTACATATATTTATATGCCTGCCGTGCTTCGGTACAACCTAAGTGATGTTCAAGCAGTTTATGTTTGACAATGTTTAACAATTATCATTTAATTTTCCCTTAAGGGTTGCATATTCCATTGGGTATCAATATTTCCCAGGAATGGAGAAACGATTCCAGCTGGCAGATTCGCAGCAGATCTGAGAAGAACAGGAGGAAATCAGTTTCATTTTTATGCCTTTATCCCTACATCGTACGCAGATCCCAGCGTAATATCTCTGTGCCTCAGAGGGGGAGGAGAGACATTACCACCTTATTTGTGTTTTCATTTTCTATCCGGTTCGCGTTTTTCAATCAAACTGAAGAGATTTCGAGAGAGCAGGCTGATTGTCTGGAGGTTTATTAATATTTTTGTTGGCAAAACTCTTCCGCCGGAGGACAAAAATAAAACTCCACGATGAAACTTTTTCCTCTAACTTCTAAGATCTCAAAATGTCGGCGGCAGGAAGCTGTCACTGCTTTTAACGGTCCTAACCCCATTTTGATGCGTTTCATCAGTTTCAACCTTTGCACACGGCAAATATGTCCACCCTAAGTACATCTCAGAGTTTAAAAATGTTAGATTTTATGAAAAAAAAAACTACATTTCTGCATTAAATGGTTGCTAAGTCTGCCTGCATATCAGCCTCCAGCAGAGCTTCTGATCCCAAATGTCACATTTTTACAAGCCATGGGGAAAAATTGTCCTTTTTTTTGCCGTTTTTTTTTTTTTTTTTTTTTTTTTTTTAAGATTACACTCAACGTCACAAATTCATAGGTCCAAATATTTGATTTATTATCAAATAGAAATTCCTCAGCGTGCTCAATTTTGATGTTGCTCCCTACGGTTTGGCTGTTTGAGAAGATAAGGAAAGTTTTGCCTTTAGTACGAAGGCAAAACTTGTTTCTATATGCTAATTTTTTGAAGAGAAGGTCTGTGAAGTTATCAGTCATAGTTTCCTTTTGGTTGTAGGAAGATGTCAGCTTGTTTAAGGCTTTCAGCAGTTTCTTCATCCAAATGTCAGCTTTAATGTGGAGCTAGCTTGTTTGAGCCTCCAGGTTGCATCTCATTAGCTGCTTTGGTGATTAAGCTAATTCTACTTGAATTAGCTTACTCACCATCAAACACCTACAACTTATTGATTTCGATTCTGTTGCCCAAGTGACGGAAAATCCAAAAGTTTTGTCCATTGAAGGAGCTAAATTTGAGATGTACTAAACTGCTAACATTAGCTAAAGCTGAACATAGGCTAGGATGCTGACACAGCAGTGTCCTGAATCAACGTTAGCTTAAAGTTTTAGCTGTTTTTAAAGCGTAGACATTTTAATATTTATTACTATAGCATTGTATTTCACACAGTTTTTATTTGGAGTTATTTTGAGAAGCTAATGTCAGCTAACGCAAGCGGTTGTCCTCCTATCACTTCCTGTGTTTTCCACTATGTCATTTCCTCCAGTGATAATGCTGATGCGGGGAAAAAAGTGTTTCCATTTTATTTCACGACTTCCTCCTAGTGCAAAAAACTTTTTATTGATAAACATGAGCTTTGTTTCCGTTCATTGTGGTATTTTCCATTTGCTCTACGGAAACGCAGCTATCGTGTCGTAGGAAGCAGAAAAGCAAAGCTTTTTGGTGTGCTGACCGTGTGTTTGTTGTGTTCTTTCAGAATATCAGAGTGCTTTTCAACATCCGCGTGGTGGGAGGATCCACATTCCACAACTACCTGTCGCCTCAGGACGGGCGACCGCTGTACCACCCCGCCGTCGACAGGTGAGAGTTTGAAACCGCATGATGCGCCATAGAGCTGGATGTCCGGACATGCTCCTGCGTTTTGTCCAGCGTGTTGACTCGAGTTTTCCGTTATCTGCCAGAGCGGATCAGAGCGGCATGTCATATCAGCTGTGAATCGCTGGGTGTTGATTAGCTTCCTGCTGAATCTGTGTTGCAACATGTACTCAATCCCCTCATGCTCTTTTTTTTTTAAACAGTTTTCCATAAAACTTAAGTGATTGTGGTGTAGTTTTGTAATATTCTCTTTCCTTTACTGTTCACTGCGTAATATGCAAAAGATGCTTAATGTTAAAAAGATATACGTGATTTGTCTGTTTATAAGAAATTAAGCATTTTATTTGCATATGAAGTGCTATACATTGTTCACCTGTTCATTAGAAAACTCAGTAAATTTTCTCATATTTACTGAATTTTCTCTCCAATCTGAAAGAAGTATAGTGTTTTAAACTACTACTCTTCCTGTGCTTGTTCAGTCAAAACCAAGACTAAGGTCAAAGGTCAGAGGGAAAAAATCCAATCAAAATTCAGCGCTGCAATGACATGACCAAACTTTTTTTTTTAAACCAACTACATGTAATATAATCAGCCTAAAGTGAAATTAGAATATCTTGTCTAATTTGACATAGTCTCTCTTTACATCTACCAAACCCCACTCTGACTTTTTGCGTCTCCGCTGCGATTGTGAAATAAGTTGCAGCGTCGTTTCTTCACAAATGCAAATTCGACGGCTCGCGGTGGCAGAAAGGGAGTTGCTGATTTTTTTGGCGTCATCTTGAAAGAACTTCCATTTGTGCAGCTCAAGAAGAGTTCATTCACCCGCTGAATGGCACTGATGGGAGCAGAAGCTTTCAGGATCTTTTGAAATGCAAATGCGTCGCACGTGGTATCCTAGAAATCCATGTGATGACAGCGTTGGAGCCCGAGATGCTGTCCCCGAGTAAACCCAAATAATGTGTTGGGAGAATGGAGAAAATCACCGATGATGTTTTAGTCTACTTTGGTCTTTTTCTGCAGCATTACGTGCTGTAAAATGTGAATGTTGGAGATGTAATTTATCTTATGTTACTCATGTCAGGGAGTCACTATGCTGCAACTCACCACTAGTTGTGTAAAAGTTTGATCCTGAAGCTAAAAAGAGTTTGGCTGAAATGCAGTTAAAAATGAAAAAATAATATTATTGTGAATTCTTTCTCTTTTGCACACACAGTAAATTAAACATAATATCATTCAGCTATTTATACTTTTTAGGCTAATTATTTTCTGTTTTGTTCATCTACGAAATGTTTTTAGTGTATTTCAATCAGTAAAAATGATTGCAACAAAATTTCTTTGAAATGGTTCAGAAAGTGAAATTCAGAGTTGCAAAAATAACGGAAAATAAATAAGAAATTATGACGTCGCTCAGAGCTCAGAGCATAGAATTAGACTGAATAGATCTGCCCTTATGGATCAGGCCACTGATACCCAATTCATAATTCTTTTCCACATTTAGACCGATCCAGATATTGATATCGTATCGGAGCATCTCTAGTTAGTCAGATGAACTGCTGTGACGTCCATCCCTTATCCACGTTCCATCACTTCCTAGTTCTATCTGGAGTCCCAAGACATTTGCCAACTTTACTGAAACATTAATGAAGAGAAAAACAAGAACTGCTCTGTTTCCCAAGTCTTGCGTAGAGCTCAGTTGTTGATATGTGCTGCTGTCACGTTTTCTTTACAGGATGATTTCAGGTTTTCCATCCGGAGATGGTCTGACGTTTGTCCGCTCTACTCAGATTGTCGCCTCCACTGACCAGCCGTGCCCGCTGCATATTTCAGTGCTTCCAGACTCTTGTCTCGCGCCTTTATTAAACAGCCGTTGCATCACATAACACCATGGTGTTCTTCACTCTGAATGTAGAGTACCTTCATGGATTATTTACAATTTCCTGCTATAGCATTCCGGTTTTCTTAATCCGAATTATGTTTTCTGAAAAACAATTAGTTATTCTGTAACCAATAAAAAATTTAAAATTGTTCCCAACTATTTGAGTTTTTAGAGTATTTTCAAACTGAATTGCAGCAGAGAGTTTCTGGTTTAAAAAAAGAAAAAAAACACAAACGGCTCTAAGAAGTAATGCTGCACACAGATGGAATATTGTATTTAAGTTGCTGGTTGTGTCGCTGGAAAAGATATATGTGTGAATGTTATGTATAGAGTGGATTTTAGATCCAATCAAGCTTTATTACTGAAGCACTTTAATATACCGCCCACAGGACCAAAACACTGCATATTAACAACAGACATTAAAAAAATGAAAGGAAATAAAACCTTAAAATTATTCTGGGGTTGTAACTACAGAGTCGTTGCATTAAATCCTCGTCTGTGTTTGTTTCTACGTTTTTCAGTGCACATTAACTGTTGTTTTTAGTAACTCATTCCGCCTTTCAATTGGCCCTCGAGGACAAAAAGTTTGAGTTGAATACAAATGTGAAAATCAGACTGATTAAACAGGTGTACAAGCAGCCGCGCAGTAAAAACATAAACTTGGAAGGAAAAGTCAGAGCAGATAGACGAGTTTTAAAGCTGCAGTGTGTAATTTTTATTTTTTTTTAAAAAAGTTTTATTTGTTACAATTCTCATATTACAACAGTATCTTGAAAAAAGGAGCTTGGAAAAAAAAATCAAGCTCCTCTGTCTTCTTCCTGCACTAAATGCAGACATTCACCACTCAGTTAGAGACAACCAATCAGAGCCAGGAGGCGGGTCTCAGTGCTGTCAATCATGCTCATGCTGCAGCAAAACAACACAGCCTGTCACAAATGCTAAGGCTAGTTAGCATAGCCATAAATGACAGCGGATGAGCGGTTTTCCTGGAACATTAAGTTGCTTCACCGCTATTAGCTCATTTAGGAGTGCATTCACGAGGATGATTGACAGCATTGAGACACTCCTCCAGGCTCTGATTGGTTGTTTTTGACCTGGAGCAGCACATTAATTCAGGAGCACAGGGAGAAGGCGTAAAAGATTGATCTTTTCCCAGATCGTCTGTCTCATATTAGACTTTTACTACATTATGACAATTTTAACAAATATAGAAAATATTTTCTCTAAAAGTTACATACTGTAGCTTTAAGAGCTCATTTAAAAACAGATGGAGAAGAAACTATCAAGAGTCGTTCTACATCTTGTATCGTTAAAACCTTTTCAAACATCTGATTCAATGTTGTCAGATCTTAAAACCAGATTAGAAACCCTCTAAAAAAATATTCTGGCCATTAATTGAAGCTAGAGCCACATTTTTCCTAAGGATTTTAGAATGGAATGATTGGCATTTTAATGTGCAAAGATGTGTGGGATCTGTAGCTGTTCTTTGGGGGTAGGCTAACTGCATGGTGACAACGCCTGAGAGCAGACTGATAAAGATACCAAGACTAAAATGTCCTAAAGTGGAGAAAAATCTTTAAAAACATCAAAGAAGTAGGAGCAGAACCTGCAGGCTTTAAACGAGCAACAATCTTTGGTAAAAGGAACCGAGTCACAGACTCCGAGTGGACAAAAAGTCATTCATGTCCGACAGTCCGAGTCCCGTCAAACAGTCAGAACCTGGAAGAAAAGAAACGTCCCTGATAGTTTTCTACTTTTGTCAAATTATTTGTTATTATCATTGTTATTCTTGGCTGAATATGTTTTATTTACATTGAGTTTGCGGCTAACGCAGGTGACGGATCCCGCTTCTTCTTACATTTTTCAAATTCTTTTCTTGTTTTTATATCGACGTATTCTAGTCCAGAATGCAGAGCTGTAACATTACTGACACCTAGTGGTTAAAAAGCGTTAATACATTACAGAGCCCGTCACCAATTTACAAAAAGATCTCAGTGGTTTCAGGTTCCTAATAATTTATTCAGAGGGTTTTTTGTTTTGTTTTTTTACCCTCCAGGATGAAATAATGATTAAATAAACAATTCAATAAATCTTGGAATCGTGAACTGAGTGGACAGGTGTGAACTTATTGTGTCTTTTTTTTTCTAATACACAAAACATTTCCACTAATAAGTTAAACGTCATAAACAAGTTAGATTTCAACCTGATACTTTTTATAATATGACAGAGTTATTTTTTTTTCTTTTTTCATTTTGAGAATAAAGTCATAGTATTACAAGAATAAAGTTGGTCTGGGATACTGAATCTCAGACCAACCTGTGTTTTCCTGGAACAAAAGCCAGAAAATTTGTTAGCCACATTTGATTAGTTGAAGCAATAAAAGGAAAAAAACTCTAGATCTGAACTGCTTCCTTCGTCCCTTAGGGCCCTGAAGCTGTGCGGTTCTGGAGGGCCTCCTCACGTGAAGCTCATCATCGAGTGGGAGCACAGAGTCAAAGACTGGTCAGTGCGTTTTCCTCTGTCCCTCTGTGATGCCTCGTTGCCTCGGTTTGTATGTTTTTCTCTTATGTTTTTTTTCTCGTTGGTGTTGCTGGGTGCCAGCCTGTTTGGTAACATTCATGAGGAAGTGGTGAAGGATGGAGACAGCGTACGAAACCTCCTGCAGCAGCAGCACGTCCAGCAGTTCAGCTGCACCTTGGACGAGTGCTTCCAGCTCTACACCAAAGAGGAACAGGTGGAACTGGACTTAAAAGACACTCCACTGCAAAGACACTACATCTGACCAAGTTTTTCTTTCTTTTTTTTTTTTGTCCAGTTCCTAGTGTAAATATTGTAGTTCACTGAAAATAAGACAAAAGTAACTTTTCAGAAAGATTTAGGAGCTTGTTTTAAGTCAACAATTCCTTAATATTGATTTTAAATATCTACTAGTTCCACTGGCATTTTTTTACTTATAAACGGAGAAAAATGTCTGTCATAATTGAAAAAATTTGCTAGTGGAACTAGTACTTTATTTTTTTAAATCAATATTAAGGAATTATTGAATATAACCAAGTCTGTATCTTATTGAAAAGTTCTGAGCAAGTTAGTTTTGTTTCATTTAAAATGTAGTAAGATATTTCCTCTAGACTTACTTGGTAAGATTTTGTGTTTCTTGTTTTCCTTCTGCTTTACAATCATACACTGCTTTGTCTTGGTCTGTCTCCTGAAATAAACATTACATTTTGTGACTTGACGAAATGTCAACGCATTCAGCTGGAATGAGCACGTTTGATAAGCGTTGGCCTCTTGTGGATTTGCTTCGTCCAACTTGGTGATTTTTGTTTTCCCTCTCTGTCTTTCCGTGCCTCTCCTTCGATCAGCTCGCCCCAGATGACGCCTGGAAGTGCCCGTACTGCAAGCAGCTGCAGCAGGGCATGGTGAAGATGAGTCTCTGGACCCTGCCGGACATCCTCATCCTCCACCTGAAGCGCTTCAGGCAGGTGGGCGAGCGGCGGAACAAGCTCACCACCTTCGTGCATTTCCCCCTGGCGGGACTGGACATGACGCCCCACATGGTGAGCCGCAACAACGGCCCCCACCAGCGCCCTCTTCAGGCGGGCTGGAAGCACTGCAGGCAGCCCGACCTGGCTACTCCAGACTTCCTGTACGATCTCTACGCCGTCTGCAACCACCACGGAGGGATGCACGGTGGTCACTACACAGGTCTGGACTCCTTCTAGGGCTGAAACGAATAATCACGATTAATGGCATTAATCCTGATAAATCTGATTAATCATTATCATTGGTATTAATTACGATTAATGTTATTAATCGTGATTAATTGGATGATCATGATTTTCTGCCTTTTTTGAGTTTGTTACTCCAGTTAATGATTAATTGATTACTCAATTAGTTTACGATTAATTCAAGAGTCGTATTAATCATGATTAATGGCATTAATATTAATATTACCTATTAATATTAATGGATAATATGATCCTATTATTAATATTCCTGTCGCTTTAATTGCAGCCTTTTGTCGAAACTCGGTCGACGGTCAGTGGTACAGTTACGACGACAGCACCGTAGAGCCTGTCCCGGAGGCCGAGGTCTGCACACGAGGAGCCTACATCCTCTTCTACCAGAAAAGAAGCACCATCCCCCCCTGGTCTGCCAGTTCCTCCCTCACTGGTCTGTTTCTCTTCTCAGTGGTTTTGTTGTTTGTTTGTTTTTTTCATATTATTCTATGTATGCAACAAAAAACAAACAATTTGGTGTTTCTGGTCAGGTTCCACCAGTTCATCCACCTCTGACCACTGGCTGGTCCGGCTGAACGGGGGAAGCAGCAGCGGCGGCGGCGGCGGCGGCAGCGCGGTCTCGGGGGTTCCCAGTCCGGCTCTTTTGGAAGCGGGATTTGCTCTGGAGTCTCCTGAGTTGCCGGTGTTTGGAGACGAACCCAACAGAGGAGTAGAAGGAAGTGAGTGTTTGTATTAAAAAGAATGAAAACTGCCTGCAGTAATTTATGTTGATGCCGTTTCACCGTTTTCCCGTGTTTAGGTGTCGGATGTGAACTCACCCTAAACCCCAAGCCACATTTGGACCAATTCGGTAGCTTTGGTAGTCTAGCTAAACTCAGAACACTCAGAATAAAATTACCTCATCTGCACCAAATTGTAACAATGCTTATCAAGTTACAGACGGTGCACAAATATTTTTAGTCCCTAAACTTTTGTTTGGGTTTTTTAGTGGGTTTTTATGTGACTCACCAGCACCAAATATTGAATTTTATTGAACTGTTCCCTCAAAATTTCCTAATTGTTTTGTTTTTTTGCATTAAAATCACTGATGTTCTTTTGCTACTTTAGAATTTCACAATATTTTCCCCAGTAAATCCGTTCAAATATCTACATATGGAAGAAACAAAATGAAAGAAAAAATGACAAGCAGATTGGACACAAGCATTTTTATTCTCTAAATAACTTAAATATCTCGATTTTTGTTACTCGCCTTGTCAGTGACAGACTGTGATAAAGTATAGAAGAAGTAAGAAACACTGCCACCTGCAGGTCAGAGTTAGCGGGTCACGTAAACTCAATTACCGAAATTAGCAATAAACTCTCTGTCATACATGGGAACTGTTGATTGAGTTGTGCTGTTATTTGAAGCACCAGATTTTAGTTTAAGTATTTTAGAGTGTGTCTTAAGCATCTAAAGACACATTGGCTGGACTTTGACTGAGCTATTCTAAAGCATTTTGTAGTTGTCTAATAGTATGGTTTAGACAACTAAACCATACGAGCATCTAACTTTTTTCTTTTTAAGCTTTAGCCTATATTTAGCTCATCATCAACTCCGACCAGCATCCAAAGAATGTGTATGTAATGTTTCATGGTGGTGTGTTCAAGGTGAAGAGCAGTGTTAGCATTTTGCCACACTTAACATTTCGCATGTAGACCCATTTTTATTCCAATTTTGCATTACTTTGTATCAGTGTATTTCATAAAATCATGGGAATACCTCTGCAAAGGACTGTAAGTGGTCAAATAATTTGAATATATCAGCTTTTTGTGAGCGCAGACCTGACATTTAATGTGTTTTTCTAGATGGCTCCAATCAGATGATGCGAGGTACCAAGGTTAGGAGCTTAAGCATGAGGTCACCTGCCAAACCCAAGGACGCTCTGAACAAAGTTCTTCCACTGCGTTGGTCTTTTGGGTCCAAAGACCGCATCAAGCACCCGGCACAAGTCCACCCTGGAGAGCTGGTGGAGTACCTGGAGTCTGGACGCCGGCCCAGATGCACCAAAGACCCCATCATCACACTGGTGGCCACCCCGCCACAGAGGAGAGTCCTTGACGTGGGACAGGACTGCAGCTCGCCCAGCGGCAGCAGTCTCAGTTGTACGGACAGGCTCAGCTGCGACACTTGTTACTCTCCCAAAATCCCAGAGGGGCAAAGGCGAGCCTGTTTGGAAAGAAACACGGGCCAAGGATCTGATAACGAGGGAAACCTCCGTTCAAGAGATGATGATGGTTCGAGGCAAGGATCTTTGTCTAAGAGACTGAGAACTGACCAGGTCAGGGCTCTGGACTTCCACCTGCAGAGAGGCGGCATTCTGGGTGGCCATATAAGCCACAGCGCTCCTCCGAGCAGAGAGTCTACGCTTAGAAGAACCGCCGTTCAGGCGATCGGCCTCACCAGGGGCCAAAAGGACTTATCACAGATGATGGAAGGCAGGAGGAACCCAACAGGAGAGGGTCAGAGCCAAGAAAATCTCCTGTCGTTTTTCAAGCCGGTTTTGACAAACAAAGACATTCCTAGGTCCCCAGGCAAGGAACAAGCGAGACAAATAAATGGTCACGAACGTCTGGGAAAACTGGCGAGCAGTAATTTAGCCAAGCTGTCGCTTTCCAACGGGACTCTTCCAGCGCTGGGCAGCAGCGTTCCCACCTGCGACGGCCACGGCTGCAAAGCCCAGCTGGTCAATGGAAAAGCTGTGAATCAGGAGCCAGTGGACATCCAGCGGGCTCACAGCTCCAGCAACATCCAGACCAAGCTGGACTTCACGTTTCGCAGATGTGCCTCCCTCCAGAGGAACGGGGAGGTGGGGATCCCTCAGGCGCACCGTGTCCTGCTGTCAGACAAGCCTGGCCACTCCACGCTGCAGCGGACGCGGTACAGCACCACCTCCCTGGGTAGGCAAAGGGGCTCCATGAACTCTGGCAAAGATGTGTGGGACGCCTCGAAGTAGATTCCTATTTAGTAATCTCACACTGAGAAATGATTAATCTGAGTAAATTTATTCTGTGGGGGGGCCAAATTGTTGACACCCCTGCTGTTAATATGGTGGTAGTGGCTAAGCTGGTATGGAGTTTGTCATGTTGTAGATGGGTTGAATCCCTGCTACATCCGTCTCTTTATACCACTGTGACACCGTCTTCGCCCCAGGATAGCTGTGGCTATAATGTAGCTCACCACCATCTACGTGTCAATTACAAAACTTTGTCGATATTCAGCAAATGTCGAAAAAACACAATTTCACAATTGCCGCGTTTCCAGTAAATAAGAAATGCAACTTAAGTCTCACTTGAATAACTCTGTTAATAACAGTGTTATCGCGTTAACAGAGCCATCCTCCTCCTATGACTTCCTGTTGCCTCATTCGTCTTTTCCACCAGTAGTAACAAACGGTTGTCGATCGCATGACTCGGGCGATGCGAAAAAAGTTTTGTCCATTGTAGTTTTTGTGAAATACTCAAATTTTGATATGGCCAAAAAAAACTTTTTATTGAAAAACGTGAGGTTTTTTTCAAAATCGGTACGTTTCCATTCAGTGTATTTATTTTTGAAATTCCAATTTGATTGTAGTATAAAGAAGCTTTGGAGTCCTCGTACTTGAGAAACCACCGTGGCAGCAGGACAGTATTATTTTCTATTGCATTTGGGTTATAGAAACATATGAACGACATGTATGGGTATACGATTGAAAGGTTCCAAATATGTGTGTAGATGAAATTTTTTTCACCTGCCTGCTGTGTGTGTTAGCAGGATAGATATGGCCTGTCTTTATCGCATTAGCCATTAGCTTAATGAGTAAGACCTTTGAGTAATATATTTACTGGAAGGCCTTTTCCACGTCTTTACTAACAGATTTGCCTGCATTTTTTATTTTTATTGTGACACTTATGAAACTTATGATTGTGTTTGTTTTTTTTCCTACACCAGTGCCCATGTGACAGCCAAGAATGACAGCCAAACAAAAGGACCGCTCACCTGGTTTCCCAGAGAAGCGCCCCCTGTTGGAGGCATTGCTTACAGCAAACGACGTCTCTATTTTATTTTATTTTTTTCCTTTTTTAATTTAATCTTTTCATTGTACTGTTTTAGGTTCTTACCTGTGTGTGTCTTAAACTAAATCTATGCAGAGTTATTAAAAAGTCTGAGGGAAATTACTAGGTTATTTTTTCCCTCCACTCACTCTTTTCTGACACTGTTTACTGATTTTTTTTATCATTATTATTTTATGTTTTACTGTCTGTTTGAGTTAATCATCCACATTTGTGAAAATGAGAGCGATTTGTGAATGCTCTACGCTTGAACTTCCACGCGAACTCTCAGGAACGCAGGAAGTTGTTTTTCGATGAGTGTGGTTCGTATTGACGTTTAAGAAAGAGATATTTGCTCTACTGACAGGCCAGCTTATTAAAAGACTACAAAAAAGTACTAACACTGGTCTAAAAATTAAAACACTGGACAGAAATAGTTTACTGTTAGAGAGTCCATTTTTAAAATGATTTATTTATCAAATTAATATATATATATAATATATATATATATATATATATATATATATATATAATATATATATATATATATATGTATTATTAATGCACTTCTTAAAATTATTTTATTCTTTTTGTTTTAACAGGCGACTAACCTGTCGGATGGCGTATGGAGGCAGTGGCACATGCTATTTTTTAAGCGTTTGATACATGGAGATGTGGAAATTTACCCCATAAGCTGATCTCTTCCTGACTTCTGATGTTTTGTGGACGAATGCAGCGAGAATTTGTACGTTAGAAATTATTATATCAGAAACCAGCAAATGTAAAAAGAAAAACAAAAACTAATCTCGCATACATCTACCCCGTTTATTGATATGATGGAACTTTTTCACATTTTGTCACCTTTCATTGGAATTTTGTGTGTCGGAGCAACATAAAGTGGTGTCTTCGTTTTAAAGACATTTTTATTTTTATTTTTTATTTTTTTTGCCTTCACCTTTTAAAATGTTGCTCTTCCAGAATGAACCCACATGTGACACCAAATAAATGACCCTGTTCCTTCTGAAAATAAAGTCTCCCCCCACAGCCTGATGCTGCCCTCACCTGTGTGTCACAGATCTTAACTGACCAGAGCAACTTCTTCCACCCGTTTGACCCTGAGAGCAGCACTTTTCATGGCTTTTTTTTTTTTTTTTTTTTTTTAAACCATCAAATCCAGAGATCAACTACTTTTCCAAAAGCGGTTAGCTGTAATAGATTTTATTTAGGAGTATTAGAGTAAAGATGACTAAATGTGGATTTAACATTTTTGAAAAATAAGTGTAAGCCATTTTCTGCCCCACTTCATTTTATGTTGCTCTCTCAAATAAAATCATCTAAAAAAATCTCTGAAATGTGACACAATGTGGAAAAGTTCCAGGCATGTGAATACTTTTGCGATTTTTGCATAAGGTCCCATAAGTTGGTGTGATGATAGGAAAATAAACACACACACACTCATACAAAACTCATTACAAAGGCTTCCAGCGTAATCTCTCCATAAATATGCAAATGGATACGAGTTAGCTGATGGCTAAGAGATTCCCAGACAACCTGCAGAGCAATAAGAGAGAGATTTAATATTCAAACCCAGTTGTAAAGATGTAAATGTGTGAAATGCAGTGACATCCTGATTGTTTCTTACAAAATCTAACTATCACAAAGGACTGGATCCAGAAGCGGCCTTTGGAGGAGCTTTTTTTTTTCTGTTTGTGATTGAAAGAGGGAATTATTCTGTGTGCACAAATTCGTTCTGCAGCCGTAAAAGCAGGATAATCACGGTTCATCGGATTCTCATAACTTGTTGGGGGGAAGTTGTCGGTTAACCAGCTGCATTTGTAATGCACATCGTTCACAGTCTTCAGTCATAAATATTCTGTGTCTGTAAGGTTTTTTTTTTCTGTCAGGAGTGAAACTCAAAGGGAATATAACCACGGTTTAGACTAATTTTCAACCTGAATATTTTTCAGTTTTTTGCTATTTTACGTGCTTCCTGAGCTTTCGTTTGCCACCGAGGAATATTAACGAGCGTCTCTGGCTGTTTGTGTTGTCGCACCGACGCTTTAGCAACAGTACAAAAAAGGAAGGATGCGATGAGATATTATTTCGGAAATTTGGTTAGATTATATTTTAGTAATTTTTTGGGGGGGAAAAAAAAATCTACATTTTGTACCTGATTTGTAACTGTGTAATTAAAGTACCAGACTAAAACTGTATGTTTCACATGACTTCATATGGTCAGAATGTTACATGGAGGAAAGTGGGTTTAAATTTGGACACTGCACACACAATTGTTTGTGTCGGATCGTCCATTATGTGTGCAGTAATGCAAGTTTTAACGATTGCAAATTAAACACAGCCTTTCTCACAAATGTCTTCCGTGTAAGGTGTGATTTGTGATGCATGCTAATGTTTTTAACGTGAGCATAGAGTTTTATGCAACAAATATCTCTGTACCACATGCCTGTTAACCATTTTTCTAACTCTACCCAAAACGATCACAGTTGACAGGAAAAAATAACCCGACATAATCTGTGTATTGCCCGATTTAAGCAACAGATGCTGCCTATTTTTTTTCATTTTGCTGACTTTATACAACAGCCATGGTTTTTCAAACTGGTGGTAGGTTGTCTTTATTTGGACAATTATTTATGGGGTAAATTCAAATAAACTGTGATGTAGAGCAATGAAGTACCAACAGCCCAAAGGATTCACAAGAAACTGTAAAAGAGACGTACAGCAGAGAAACTGAAAGTAAACCCACTGTAACCATTTTCCAGGTCCAAGTTCAAACATTTTATTTTGCCTTGTACCTCACTTCTTTTAGCCAGTGACAAAGCCTATTTTAAATTGATGTTTTTCAAGAACAGCATTTGTTTGCATCACTATAAAACACAGTGTCACAAAGACAGTTACCTAAAAAAAGAAGAAACAAATTGTTTTTTATTGTCATTTTTATCGTTATCACAATAGTACCATGAAATATCGCAATAAAATTCTTAAATCCATATTGTCCACCTATATCGCCTATGACGACACATTTTAAATCAGTCAGTCACCGCAGCGTTGCTGCATCTTGCATGTAATCTGGATGTAATCTGTTGGCACACCAGTAGATCCAGCTCAGCTCGAGACACAATCAAGAACAAAAGTACAGAACTTGGTTGCATTGTGAATTCCCACGGCGGTAAACGCACCGTTCTGTTATCCAAACAGCGAGGAATGGGCAGAAACAAACTGAGTCATGTAGCTGTTCCTTTAACTCCTTTTCTGTTCCGCCTCTTCAAGCACACCGCATCACATGTGTTCCCAGTCGGGCTGCTGATTCAGCTTTCAGTCAGCTCTTCTTTCACAGTCAGCCCTCATCCGCCCTCCACACACCACCAACAGACCGTGACGCATCTTACTTCACGGACATGTTCCAAAAAACAAATTTGTTGCCACCGTTAAAATAAGATTATTCTCATAAAACTTAAAGCTAGTTTGGAACACTTCAGGCTTAATATGTTGCGTTCAGTTATTAAATCTTATTATGGCGAACCTTAAGTTTAATAGTCATCTCCGAAGAGTTGTTGGCTAACCTTTTTACATGTGATGGCATCTGCAGTAGAGGAAGTTTGTCTTTATCTCCTGTGGTAAGGTTATACAGTTAGGTTACACAACAGAGCAATATCACACGTCAACCAACCACGTAGGGTGAGGTTTGCTGAAATTCTGGCATGGTTGTGACCTCGTAATGTACAGGACGGCATGTACACCATTATCTACTGTTCAAAAATGCAACATTAAAATGCAAGATGTTTTCTTTGAGATTCTCGCTGAATCTGGTTTGTGGAGGAGAACAAATCACTGGTAGAGCTTTCACAGGCTGCCAAATTACAGTTCACTGGTGAGCGTAGTTACTTTAATGGTCCTCCACTGTTAGATAAAACCATTTTTACTGTTGGGTGTATGAAATATTCATGCGATGAGTTGCAAAAGGCTTCCTAATTCTCACTGCCTAGCGCAATAAACTCACACACTGTATGAGGAAATGCAGGATCACAAAGACGGTGTGGTTTATTCTTTCCCATTAGCCGCATTGCAGGAGCAAAATATCTGGATATGTATACAACCAGAACTCTCACTCAAGATTGTTTGAAGTGTCAGAGATGATTTTAACACTTAAAACATACGGTTTGAAAGGCAAATGTGTCCGTCATTGTGTTTAGACTCTGACAGACGGTGTTTCCTGAGGACACACGGCTGTTCAGTGGTGACAGATGGCTGTTTAGTGGCGAGTGTGGTTGGCCAAAGAAGTTCTTGCACAGCTAAAGTGACCGGGGTGGCATGTGTTACAGCATCTCTTTAGACCAATGTGAATGAGATGGAAGAAAGTTGTGTGGTGCTGCTTCCTCTTAAACCTACCCTACTGCAGCAAGAGCAAGAAACACTCTGCGGCACAACCTCTTTATCCAGCTACTGGCCTGACAAACTCGTACATCAATTGAAATGTTGTCTGCATATATAGAACTTGGATCATCGGTATAGCTGAGTTTCTGCCCTCCATGGCACCCATCCCCCAGCATCCTCCCCACACAGCTCCTTCAGACTAGCAGCAGCAGCGATAACAACTGAAGATAACACAATGAGTTGATTGTGCTATAAAAGTGCCTTATTTTGCAGGGTGAAAAAAAAACAATGTATGATATTGTTGTTCTGGCTTCTAGTTCCATCCATCAGTTTTATGCTGGTTCCCAACCACCATCAACCAGGATGGTGTATTCATTACTGGTTGGGGTTAGAGTTAGGATGGCCTATGGCAAACTGCAAACAGGACCTGTTCCAGCTTTCCTAACATTCTGAATTTCTTCATTGCTACTAGCCCATAAGGGCCAGATTTGAGGAGTACATGACTACAAAATGTATTTTAAGCAAAAGTAGCTTCACAGCATTATATTTTTTACCCATACTTGAGTAAAAATATGTTAAAATAGTGATACTCTTACTTGAGGAGAATTTTTGGGTACTCTACCCTCCTCTGGATTTAATGAAATCCATTTGTAGCGCACGCAATCAAGCAAAACAAAGACCCTCGTCAACATGAAGGAACCCCAACATTCCACTTGGGGGCAGCATTGTAAAGGTATTCCAACATTTCCTCTGTTCCAGACCAAAATTAAAAGCAGATGTGCAAAGAAAAAAATGAAAGCAATATAAGACGACCAAATATCCCTACAGCGATCAGATAACATATCATTAGACCCACTCAGTTCGCTTATTTTCTGACCGAGGCTATTAAAACATATTTGAAGCACACAAGAGAAAATTTCAGTGGCTCTCTTTGGAGTTAACTGGCAGAGAAAGTTGAGCCAAAGTGTAACCCACTGTAATTCCTTGTAATTTGACACAAACACATGTAATGTCTGCTGACTTCAACTTCAAACTTAAATAAATAATAACACAAACTACAATCAGTTTATATCATTTTTTTAATCAATTATATATATATATATATATATATATATATATATATATATATATATATATATATATCGTACATATATATATATATATATATATATATATATATATATATATATATATATATAT